CTGTCTGTTCACTCTGCCGTAGTTTATTTTGCTGTGCAGAAGCTCTTTAGTTTAATTAGATCCCATTTGTCAATTTTGGCTTTTGTTGCCATTGCTTTTGGTGTTTTAGACATGAAGTCCTTGCCCATGCCTATATCCTGAATGGTATTGCCTAGGTTTTCTTCTAGGATTTTTATGGCTTTAGGTCTAACATTTAAGTCTCTAATCCATCTTGAATTAATTTTTGTGTAAGAAGTAAGGAAGGGATCCAGTTTCAACTTTCTACTTATGGCTAGCCAGTTTTCCCAGCACCATTTATTAAATAGGGAATCCTTTCCCCATTTCTTGTTTTCGTCAGGTTTGTCAAAGATCAGATGGTTGTAGATGTGTGGTATTATTTCTGAGGGCTCTGTTCTGTTCCACTGTTTTGTTCCACTGTTCTGTTCCACTCTGTTTTGCTACCAGTACCATGGTTACTGTAGCCTTGTAGTATAGTTTGAAGTCAGGTAGCGTAGCGTGATGCCTCCAGCTTTGTTCTTTTGACTTAGGATTCTCTTGACAATATGGGCTCTTTTTTGGTTCCATGTGAACTTTAAAATAGTTTTTTCCCAATTCTGTGAAGAAAGTCATTGGTAGCTTAATGTGGATGGCATTGAATCTATAAATTACCTTGGGCAGTATGGCCATTTTCACAACACACTCGCAGATGCCCGGCCTAAACCGCACCATTGACCAGCAGCCACCACACCTGCGCTTGAATGACTCCATCTGGCGTGACATATAGTTGACATTAACGGGACCGCAACTAAAAGATGCTTCATTTGAACATACAATCATCGAGCCACCAAGAGATACACATACCAGACATCTCATGGTACACTTTCAGAGGCAGTAGTGGTAGAGTGGCGGAACTTTACTACGCACTAAATGGCCCACGAGTAGAAAGCAGGAACGAATCTAAATTGACACCCACTAGTCATCAACCAGAAGTCACAATTAAAGAACTAATGAGAAAAGCGCAAACCGAGCAACACATCCCTCACGCGCAGAAAATAACAAAGATCAGAGCCGAGACCTGCCGCAAGGAGACACAAGCACCAAAAAATCCTTCAACGAAAAGTCAATCGAATCACAGGGGGGCTGGCCTTTTGACACAACGATCAAGCAAATATTCGGTAGACTCAGCTAGCAAGACTCAATAACATAGAAGCAGACAAAAGAGAGCGAAGAAATCAATCAGAATGCATAAAAAATGACTAACACGTAGCATACTTAGAACACCACAGACACAACCCACCAGAATATGACGCAAAACTACCACATCAGAACGACATAACTAATACAAACACACAAAACCTCATAGGCACCAAATACAACATAAGTAGAAAAATAAACAAAATAGCAGAGAGAACATTGGAATACAAAATATCCTAAGAACATATTATAGAACATTACTCCAACGACATAAAACACGACACAGAAGCAGAAATTGAAAAGTACCCCTGAATAGAACTAATAAGCAGGCTACTGAAATAATGAGGACAATAATAACCAGCCTAACCATCCAAAAAAAGTCCAAGGACCAGATTCTGGAATTCACAGCCTGAATTAACTAACCAGAGGCGAACACTACACAACCGCAGGCAGTTGTGACACGCACTTGCCTTCTCGAAACTATTCCACGTCAATAGACTACAAGCACGGCGCGAGCGTCGCTAAGATTCATTTGTATCCGAGGCCCCAACAGTGGCATGCCTGAACCAAAGCCTGGCAAGAAACATAACAAGAAAAAGATGTTTAGACCAATACTCTTCGCACCGACACCAGCATCGATGCAAATAAATCCTGTAATAAAATACACTGGCAAACCCGAACTGGGCAGCACGCATCAAAGCCTTATCCACATGATCAAGTGGCGGTTTAACATCCTCTGGGATGGGCCCAACCGGCCTGGTTCAACACCATACACCGCAAAATCAAATAACATGCGCGCCTCACATCCCAGCGCATATTGTTAACACAGACACCAAACCAGAAATCAAAACACCACACCGACTTACTCTCAACAGAGTGGGCCACGCAAACCAGCTCGCCTTTGACAACATCTCAACAGCTTCTTTCATGCTAACAAACTCTCAATCAAAATTTGGTAATTTCGATGAACGTACTTCGTTTTTCAAACTAACTAAGACGCTATTTACTCGACAACCACCCACAGCCAATTATCATCCACACCTGTAATGGGCGCCACCAACTGGAGCATTCCCCTTGCAAAACTGGCAGCAAAAGACAGGGGATCGCCGTCTCTCTCAACCTCTAATTCAACATATGTGTGTCGGATGTTCTGCGCCCAGGGCAATACAGGCAAAGAGAAGAGACCTAAAGCGGTAATGTCAACCCTTACACGTAAAGAAGACGTCAAATTGTCCTGTTTGCAGATGAGCTGATTGGCTATACTTTAGAAAACTCGCATTCGTCTCACCCCAAACATCCCCTCCTTAACAAAGCTGATAAGCAACTCAGCAACAGTCTCCAGGATACACAAAATCAATGTGCATAAAATCACAGCAGCATTCTATACACCAATCAACAGACAGACACCAAATGCATGAGTGACACTCCCATTCACAATTGCTACAGAAGAGACATAAAATAGCTACGAGTCCAACTTATAGAGGGATGTGAACGGACCTCTCTCAAGAGACTACAAACCACTGCTCAATAAAAGAAAAGAGGACCACATACAAATGGAGACACATTCCATGGGCTCATGATATGAAAATCATATCATGCCCCTGA